TCTTCAGTTTAAAGTTCTTCTTTAGTTTTATCCTATTACTTTAACTGATGCCTTAAAGTTCACTTACATCATCATACTGGAAGTTCACAAAACCCTGCTGAGATGTATCCCTTCTTCTAAAACATTCTGCAAAAGTGCATTAAGAAAACAAAACAGAAAAAAACAGGTAAGAATTATAGGTAATCCATTTTTAAAAAATGCATTGTACTTTCAATAAATTCCCCAAGTCACATGAATGAGGACTCGTGAAGAACAGTGCAATTCATTCCATGACTTAATTTCCCACTCTTAATTTTCATATTTATCATACACAGCCCTTTATGTTCTGTTGATAAATACAGTTTCCCAATTTTGATAACATAACTCTTCTAGTCTCTGGAATAAACCCTGCATTAGTTTTAACTCAATTTTTCAATGGAGATTTAAAAACTAATAATAACCTGTAACTGTTGCAGTTCTGCCTGTAAGAACCTTACTTTGTGTTGCATGAAAGTGGAAGTTGAACTTGAACTTGAGGTTACTGAGTAATCAGATTTTATGAAATAAAAATATATTATGGGCATGACAGTAACAAGGCTAGAATCCAGCATACCAGTGAGAGCTCTGAGTTTCACACAGCAGGCAATGTAATCATCAAATGTAATCTTTCCATGAGTGCTGTATCGCCTTGTGATCGCAGTCACTGCCTGTGGGCTCAGTCTAAATCCTATTTGAAAATAAAAAGTCTATATTGAAAAGACAGTAAGTTAACAGAATCCAACACATTTTTAATTGGAAATATCATGGGTCAGTTACTGCGGGATGGTAACTGATACTGGGAAATACTGTAAATCAGTGTCAGAAGCAAGAACATTTCACAACTTACCCATATTCATCAAGGCCTTCTCCAGTTCTTGACGATCCACTGTACCACTTCTATCGTTGTCAAAACTTAGGAAGTGTTGCTTCCAGCCATTGACCACAGCCCAGAGTTCTTTAAACTCATTAAATCCCAGTGTGCCAGACATATCCCTCTGATTCCAAAGCTAAGAAAAATGTTCCTTAACTTTAAAAAAATTAAAAAGTTCTCTCTCCAATGGAAATTTGGTTTTTTATCTTCTGTAGTTAAAAACTCTTTCTTGAAGGTCAATATTAACAATATTTTACTATTAATTTTTCTGGTAGAAAACTAACTACAGCATCCCACAGCACAGAGAGAATACTACCAACCAAAACCAAAGGTCAGAGAACTTGCTCTCTCCACTTCTTCCCAGTGAAACCTGATAAAACTATTTGCTCTTTGTGAATTTAAGTTAGTTCACACACTTCTCTTACTTGCCACAGTGTAATTGTTACCAATAAAATATATATCTGAAATAAAACAAGATGCCAAATGAAAAATTACTTAAGTTAGAATAATAGCAGTTCTCTCACATTCTAAGCAGCTTGTTCAAGGTGAGCTAAGAGCCCTTCAAGTTTCATTTACGCTTTTCTTCTTTTTAAACAGCAAAACACTTGAACATGACAATTTTGGCTAAAAATCTCCAAATATTCTAACCTTGCATAGTATGCCTAAGTCTTCCAGAGGTCCTACTGCTGAATGCCATATACCATCTCATTAGATCCTCAAACCTGATTCATTCAAGCAACAGGATTTAGGGGGACTTAAGATTGTATTCAGGCTGTGTAGTACAAATTCTTAATTCATTAGGAAGAACGTCTACAGAACATCTACAGTGTTGTCCAGTTTCAAAAGCACAATGATCCATTTGCACAAAACTCTGTTCTGGTCTGCTGGAGCTAATTCTTCACACATTCAATGGAGAAGCAGTCCCCTAGACTTAGAGGGAATACCACCTGTTGTAAGAAGATCTGTCCCCGAGAGCCTCATGTATTAGAATTATTATTTCATACAGTAAAATGAATAAGAATGGAATTTTGTAGTTCCCCAAATATACTGATCATAATACTTACAAAGTAAGAGCTAAATGGGAATTACAAAGCATTTTCCAAATTTTGGGCACCCTCTCATCTTTGCTTACATAATGCAAAAATGTTTACATTTCATAGTAAAGGATACATCCAGCATTGAGATCATAAGTCTGCAAGTCTCTAAGTTGAAAGCTGTTTAAATTAGAAAAAGGAAAAATAAGTTATATTAAAAGAGTGATTTTCAGTTTTGTTTGTCTAAATGTAACATTTTAATTTGCTTTTTATAATATACTAATAATATGTTATAATGTACAAAATATTATATAATTGCTTCCACTGTATACAGTCACACCATCTTTTGATCCAAGTATGAGCTTTTAATCATTACTTGGTAGAAAAACTGACATCACACAATCTGGAGGCAATTCAAGTTATATTTAAAATCAATTTGCTCTTATCTCAATCCATAAAGATTTTGGGTTTCAGTCAAAGTCGTCACTTATATTTCACCATAGATACCACCTGAGGAAGCCAGTTTTAGTCACAGAAGTTTGATTTTGTAAACTGAACACTAGATATCCTGACATATTTTTTTGGTCAATACCAAAGCTCAATTTAAAAAAAAAAAAAAGCAAAACACCTTTTTAAGAATTGGCTGTTCATTACAAAACAAAACACTTCTCCAACTCTGTAGTTCAGCAGTGGGTAACTACGGAGGCTGAGAAAGGAGTTCTTATACACACACAACTGAATACAGAGAATTTACATTTCAAAGTACTCCATATGGAAAGGAAGTCCTTCTACCATGCAAATAATAATAATAAAAAACCTCTGCAGAAGGCACAAGTGTTTTCTAGTAGATGGCATAAAAATTAGTAAGCTTTAGGGTTGCTTTGTTTTTTTTAAATTTAAATTATTAACTTACGTTTATACGCTCCTGCAATCCCTGACTGGGTGAGACATCTCTGTAGCTCATCAGCATCTATTTGTCCATCCTTTCGGTAACAGAAGATATATCAGCTATTGTTTTAACACCCTCTCCCAGGCAGGTTATTCCCAGCACCCACTCCCTTTTCAGTGGCATTAGTTACCCACTCAAAAACCAACTGATCACTTGTCTGCTATACAACAGAAACTGCCTTTTATAACCCACATCTGTAATGACGTTTCTTTAGTTGATATTTTTGCAATATGCATTAGCTTTCCCATCTCTTGATGTACTAAAAACCAAACAGGATTGGCAGGTTTGATCTGAACTTAGCTTTAACAAAGAAACAAACCAACCCACATAAAATATTGGTAGCATATACTTGAGAGCCAGCTGCATAGAAACCAAGGCACAAATTTTAACAGAAAGACAGCTTTCCTTAAAGTACTAATTCTAACTTAGTGGGTATTGTAGTCACTTTAGATTATACTTTTGTGATTTCACTGCTACAGCAGGAAACTTAGAACCCAGGTCATACATACTCTTTTCTCAAGACAGCCTTAAGACTTACAAACCTAAAAAACCCTATTTTTTGGGGAATAGTAAGTTGTCAGCAGAAAACACAAAAGCAGAAAGCAAAGAACTCTGAAACAGAAACAAAACAAAGCCAGAAAAGATACCTATCTGCGTGGTTTGGAAAATGACATGCTTCCAATGCATCCTGCTCAGGGCCAAATAGAGAAAGCAACTGCCAATTCATGGAAAGCAATGAGCTGCCAAAAGCAGAGCTGGAATTCTAGGTCACATTCCTCACACACCCAACATGAAGTTCAGTTCACAGAGAGTTTAATTTAAACTCATTCAAGAATGGAACATTATATCTGTAGATATTAAAAATGATGTGACTGTTGCAAAGCATTAAATAGGGAAAAGAGAGTTGCTTTATATTTGAAATTTATTGCTTTGCCTCAGCATTTTCCTAATGTTTTTAAATCCAGTAAGCATTTTTTTTGTCCTTTTTTTATGAATAGAGATATTCTACTAAATGGCATGGTGGGAATGGGAAAGACAGGTAACTTTCAGAAATTAAGTTTAATTATTTATAGAACAAATAGTACTTAATATCTTAAATGATATTTGACAAGGTCTGAAAAAAAAAAAAATCAATGTTTTGATTCTATGTAAATTTAACGGCAGCTAAACCCGAAATTACTTTCAATCTACTCCATCAGTCTAACTATACAGATGTACTTAAAACTTTACATTCACAGGAAAATAAATTTTTAAAAAGTGAAACTGTTTAACTTGGCTGGCAACCAAACAAGACATAGCCGCTTGCACCCAGGACAAAACCAAGGCAAAAAAATATTTGAAATAGCCATATTAAGCAGCAAATCTCTCCAAACTCTGTGCCTTCTGAAACAAAGTTAAACTAGACAAGTTACAGAGGCTTTGTGAACAGACTAAAAAAATAAAATTATTACTTCCTACAAAGACAGACTCGATTAATTTAATTAAGATTTGAAACAATACTTTTGACTTTCTTCTGTAAACAAAGAAAACTAATTCCTCAAATCTAAAACAGGATCTCTGTTGTAAACTACTTCAAAGATAGCTTGGAGATAACATTATATATCATACAGGTGTTAAAACAACATGAGAGCAGTGAATCATAGCCAAAACTTTACTTATTCTACAATAAGTACTTACAGAAAACCATGAGATGTGGCTTTTTAGAGATTTGCATGGATAGCTGTAAAAGCAACTGATTTACCTCTTCCATTTCACTGTCTCTTTACAGGGTTCTTACTTGTGCACAGCCACTGGTCTCTGAAACTGACTCTTCCAGTTCCAAGGATAACATTTCAAAAGCTGCCACTTTATTTCAATAAGGAATGATTTCTACAAATAAAAAGTACTTAAGAGTACTAACTTAAGTACTCTTAAGCATTGACTTCATCACACCCACCAGCTCACTGGCTCCCCCGCTTCCAGTAACCATGCCTGACTTGAGAAGCCTGGGGATGGTCTATGCTTGGCTGAGGTCCAGCTCCTGCCACCTCTTCTCCACAGAGCTGCATCCTGTTTGCTGTTACCTCCCTTTCTCTTTACATAAGGAGCTTACTCATCTTTCCAGCGTCAGTTACTGGCTCCACTGCTGATTCCTAGCACACATCCAGATGGTACCTGGCTGCAGAGGCATCTCAGCTGGCAGGCAAATGTCAGCATGTTCAGCAGAATTTAGCTTGGGCTCCACCTTACTAGGGGCTTGCCTCATTACACACAGGTCATTACAGTGTTCTCCTTTACTGCAAAAAATATGGTTTACATATTCTCATAAGCAATGTTAAAGAACTAATATATAGATTGTAAGATGCATTATAATTGAAAATAATAATGTAGAGGACAAAAATAATCCAAATTACAGTCTTAAACTGGAAATTTAAACATCAGCTAATATTGCTAAATTCAAACTTTCCTGTTGTGGTTATGCCTACCTGTGGATAACAGATCCAGGAGCAGAGTTTTAGATTTACACACACCCTAGAAGTGTGCAATACATAGCTATACCTATGGCCAACAAAGACAGAACTTCAGCTCAATAAACCTAACTTATTTGTTCACAAACTCTGTAATATAGTTCAAGAACTACTTGTTTCTAGGAACTTATTTCTAGTAATTTTGTATAGTCATACAAAACCAATGCATGCCACAAAAATCACAGGAAAGAAATTAAAAACGCAGTGCAGAATGACAGGGTGGAAAAAAAGAAAGACCTATATGGAAGTTGTGAATGACTTTTCCTCAAAAGGAATAACCACTCTATCCTACCAGCAAACCCAGATATTGGCACAATTCAAGACTGCTTTTCCATTTGTGAATGTATTAAGTCTAGATCATGCAATTATCTCTTTCTTATTAGCATTTCCCTTTCTTAGCCAGGCCATCTCCACAGCCCATGCTACCCACCATTTCTGAATTCTTTCTCCTGAAACTTGACAGCATCCCCCAACCCAGAGCTGAGCCACAATTCAGTTACAGTATTTCATGTAATTATACAGTTCCTGTATATACTTATGCAGGAAACATAGCACATACATGCATACATGTGTGTATATATATACACACATATGCATTTACACACACATACACGCACTATATAGAAACTAACAGTGTTATTCAAACAGTATAGTTACTGTGTATATAGCTATGCAGCTATATATAGCAGGTAGGCTAAGTAAAACCATTCTGGTTTGGTTTTATTTGTTTTCTTAAACTTGAAACAACAGCTTTCCTCGCTGCAAATATTAGGCATTCCTCTTTCCAAAAGCTAATGTAGAAATTATTCCCCAGAAAAAAAAATCCAATATATATATATATAACATTTTAAGTTTACCTGCCCTGCTACTGCAGCAAAATAACCATACAAAGGATCCTGAGCTTGTCCAGGAAATGCTGGTCCTCCTGGGGCTCCTCCATACTTTAGAAATCAAGAAGAAAAATAATTTTAAATCAGTGATTCAGTTAACTGTTAAGAAACTGCAGTGTTTGTACTTAAGAATCCACTTGTTTTTATATATGCACCATGCAAAAAATGTTAAACGAACAAAAAAAAGAAATTCCTTAAAAAAACTTGAACAACAAAACGCCAAACAAGCCACAATCTTGGTATCGATATACTCATTTATTATAATTTAAGCAGATTAGTGTAAAACCTTGCCCAGGAGCAATCCACTGATCTAGATACAGTATGGTGTATCTCATCAAGGTTGAATTTTAGTCTGCTTCAAGCAGAAAGTGGAGTACTGAAGATAAGTACTTAATGGAGCACTAAATCACTGCAGATCTCTCCACTTCAAAGAAGCTGAGCAAGACAGATCTGTATAGAGAAAATACTTGGAAGAATATTAATTAATCATGGAAATTTTTAAATAAAATTTGATTCTTTAGTGAAAATCATGGAACGATAGAAGTTACTCCTGTTTGAGTTGAATAATCTGTGTAACACAGTCTGCAGCCATGGTTGGCCGAGACAAGAAAATGCCTTTTTTGGAGATGCCAGTTTCACCAGGTGTGCCTTTGCTCTTCGAAGCCGCTGAGCTATTTACTGGCCCCATGAAGCCAAGACAGCATCACAGGAGGCATCAGCCATGAGACTTCGCTCGGGGCATCCCGTGGGGAGCCGACTCGGGGACCGACACTCGCAGAAGTGACTTTCGCCCTCCGCGCCGCGGGCGGAGCCCCGGCCC